ATTTATGTATGACTTGTTTTTGACTTGAAGATTTTCTTCTGAATGCAGGGCATGAAATTAGAAATTTTCATCACTACCCATGCAAGTACTGGTATGCTAGAAACTTAAAATCTGATAAACACCCCGGAAATCTAGTATCCAACATATGGATAATAATATTCAAAACAGGGCAAAATGAGTTTTCAGTTGCAATTAAATTTATCTAATGAATTAACTAATATAATTTGTATATGTATATGAAGGATTCGTAAACAACAGAAAAATACTGTATCGTGTTACCAAAAATTTCAAGCCCTATAGACTGCATGAAGTCTTTGTGCATGTCATTTTTTGCTTGTACAGTCCCCCCTCCCCCAACTCACTACATGCATTTCATAGCAATCGGTTTTATACATTAGAATAATTTAAGTCTCATGATCATGCTTGATTTTAATATTTGATTAACACATAAATTAGGAACACATTTGTGCTATCCATGTGCAATACTGTAACAATTGAGGAGACTTTCTCGTTGTTAACATATTGTCTAACATTTAAAGTTTTATATTAATGTGAAAATCTATGTAATTCAGTCAATAAAATATCTGTCTGTCTATCTACCTATCTTACAATTTTAGTTTGCCTTATGGAATAACTGAAGGAGGTGATATGGTACCACAATTCTGACATGTCCAAACTATCAGATATTTTTTATTTGAGTAATTAAGTCTTTTCAGTACAAGGGATTCCAAAGGAACTGAATATTCTAAATTAACTTGAAAACAGTAAAAAATAGTAAAAGAATTATGAATTGTATCAACTAGGTTTATAGGGATGAAGGAAAAGCTCTAAAATTGCTGGTTGGCATTTTTTTCTGACATGGAGCAAATTCGTGAAATTTCTATTCATGCAGCAAATTAGTGGTGCATGCCCTGGCATTTGTTTACAAGGCAAATGGTTAGCTTAATTAGTGTAAAATATTGATGGATAATTAACATGATATACTATAAATTGTTCAGAATAGTATTAAATGTTAATAATGATACCACAAAATATAGTGGGGAGATATGATTTTTTGAACACTTGTTGCATAATATATGAACTATGACAACTAGCATCAATGCATGTTCATGTGTGATGCATGTCAGATCTTGATTTAATACAGCATTTATAGTAAATCATCATTAAAATCATGACTTTCATGACCACCCATTTTAATATTTGTACTAAACATATTTTTTATGCTGGTGCTCTATTTATATAATTTCTATCTAGATAGGGGTAGAATTATAACCACACTGATGACTGATAGTTATAGCTTAAGACTTTATAATTCACATTATAATATTTTATATTAAACAAACAAGAATATTAACGTCAAGGCTAGCTTAGGCTTTTAAAAATTTAATAAATATTGAGGCCAGTTTCAGGTTAAAAGCACAGTCTGGCTTTGCCTATAAGTACTCTGCCTTTGATCGCATGGTAGCTAATATAAATTAGTTTGACCAAATTCAGGTCTTGTTCAAATCAAAAAGGCAGAAAACATGTAGGCTATACCTTATATATACATGAGAAAATATGAAAAAATAAACAGCAAGATACAGTAACTCCAAATCCTGGCTAGAAATAAAAGGTTAAAAACTATAGAAGGGGCACTCCGTGACTCCGGCCTTTTTCTTTGTAGTTAAGCTAGCCTTGAAGTTTAAACACTTAGCAATATACATGCTAAACTAAATATTAAAGTTATCATATATCTAGACATACGGACATACGAGCTCAAAATCAAATAATGTGAAATCAAAACGGTCCAATGAATCTCAGCGGTCAACTCAAAAACAGTTGTAAAATAAAATATAACCAACTAGATATGAAGTAATTGTCTACTAACCTTCCTTTTAGGAGTCCAAATACAACTTTCATTCTCGTTTAGGTTCTGAAATAACATCTTTTTGGTGGAGAAACGGAAGCCATTTTGTTGTTTTGTCGAATCTTCTTGTTAAAAAAAAATTCGCATTTCCAAACATTTCAAGCTTTAATCGTCGGATATCTTTCAGACAAGGCAACATACTCAACATTTCCACCTTGTGGTACACTTTTACTGTCCTTTCATCGCTGAAATATTATGTTTTTGGTGCTTTTTTCTTCGTAATAAAAGCTTGCAGTTTGTTTTCTAAAAAAGTTTGTATTCTGAATTCGCGCCTTCGCAGATAAATTTGGCTACGTGATTGGTAAATTTTCCCGCCATAGAACATCTAGCCTGCAGATGCGGGCGTTAATAGGGTAGACGATTAGGGTGATAGGATCATGGTACTATGTTTACTTGTTGTGGTACAAGTCGACTATTTTCACATTTTTAATGCTTTGATAGCTTGTAATTATTCATTGGCATATAGTTCCTTTAATTAAATGCATTCAATTCTGCGGCTCATTTTTTTCTGTCTTGAGGGGGGTGGGGGGCTTGAGAGTCCACCCTATATCTTTAAAGTAATTGCTTTAATTCCTCAACAGGCCCGTGTCGTCCCTTATCAAGTATGCATGTTTGCAAAAAAGTTGGGATATTTCAGCGTAAATGGTCAGGTGTCTAAAGTAACCCTTTACTACTGAATAAAAGCTTTCAAGCTTGCTTTCGGTTATTATTAATACTATACCCCGCTCAGTTTCCCTCATTCGTCACTGTTGAGTGTTGGGCAGTTTTATCGGCAAGATTCCGGGCTTAGTGAGTGGTCATTATTTATGGGGAGAAGGAGGGGGGTTTGGGAAATGGGGGGGCGACAGAAGTTTTGCCTCATTATAAATAGGGGGGCCAAAAAAGTTTTAACGCAGAGAAAGAAGGGGGGGGTCAAAAAAGTTTTTGAATTTAAATACCATGTCTAGAGTTCTAATTTCTATAATCACAAATAGCAAAAAAGAAACCTCTGAAAATGCTATTTCCAACGATCTAGAGACTCAAAATTTTCAAAATTTCCCTGCTCGGGGCCAACCATGGTAGCGCCTCGCGATCGTGGGAGTCGCGCCCACTAAGTTTTAACAAGCTTCCTACCCCATGAGTGACCCAGTTGTGGTATTTACATAAACATACCATGCAGGTACACTTAACTGATCAGATTCGGTCTATCAAAGCACAATATGTATAAATGCTGTATATCCAAAAATCTGTTTCAGAAAATGCTCACATTTCAGTTCTAGGGGTGGAAAAATACAAAAAATACGTACAGTACATACAATACCACAGACCCTAATAGCCCCAGACCCCCCTACTAGTACATACAATACCACACCAAACGTTTTGTCACCAACAACCATCTATCGTCTCTCCACACTCAATATAGTATGGTCCCTTTTTGTAGATGCCCACCCCCCAGGCAAGTCATTTCGTTGTATGAAGGCGGGCCATGGGTTAGGGTTATGGTATTACAAATGTTGCGTTGCAAAGTAGTAACACATAATATATATTTTTATTTATATATGATTGAATCATATTCACCAGGATAAAACATAATGAGCTAGATTAAACAGATTGTCCTAATATCTAACTTTACCTGCAACGCACACCTGTTTCATTGCTGTTAATTTTTCAATCTACACTGGGGGGGTCAAAAAAGTTTTCAATCCTTATTTTCCACATTTACAACACCCCCCCCCCCTTCTCCCCATAAATAATGACCACCACAGACCTTATAGTTATAGCAGAGAATATACTAAATAATATATATACAACATCAGATGAACTATTCTGCAAAGTAAAGTAACGAAGGAGTTAATATTTGTAACGTGTGTATTTACACAATGGATTTACTCTGCGGACAAATTTGTTGTAAATTTAGACATAGATTTGCCATTGAAATTTAATATGGCAGTGGCATTAGTAATTTCTTGCAAAGTCAATATACGCAATGAATTTGTTTCGCTTGCAAATTTGTTGTAAATTTAGATATAAATTTGCCATTGAAAATTCATATTGCAAAGGCATTAGTAATTTCTTGCAAAGTCAATATGCGCAATGAATTTCTTTCGCTTGCAAATTTGTTGTAAATATAGATATAAATTTGCCATTGAAAATTCATATTGCAAAGGCATTAGCAATTTCTTGCAAAGTCAATATACGCAATGAATTTGTTTTGCTTGCAAATTTGTTGTAAATTTAGATATAAATTTGCCATTGAAAATTCATATTGCAAAGGCATTAGCAATTTCTTGCAAAGTCAATATACGCAATGAATTTGTTTCGCTTGCAAATTTGTTGTAAATTTAGATATAAATTTGCCATTGAAAATTCATATTGCAAAGGCATTAGTAATTTCTTGCAAAGTTAAGGAGAGTTAAAATTTGTAATAAATACGCAACGGATTTACTTCGCTGGCAAATTTGATGTAAATTTAAATAAACATATGCCACAGGGAATTTCTTATGGCAAAGTCATTAGTATTTTTTTGGCAAAGTTAATTTACGCAATGAACTTACTTCGCTGGCAAATTTATTGCAAAGTTAGAAATAAATTTGCAGATTGTGCAAAGCAGCTTGCAAATTTTAAGTAAATTTAGTAGTTGCAAATCTAAAACACTTCATACGCAAAGTTATTGCAAAATTATAGTTATTGAATTTGCAACTAATTTGCAAGTGTGCAAATTTATTGCAAATCTGTTTTTTCGCCCCGTGAAAATTATGTTGAGGTCAGAAACTTCGTGCAGACATAAGTATTTTTTCAAATGACAGTACCTGGCCTTTCCGAAACAGATTTCTTCTGCAGATCTGAAGGAGATCTGGACTATAGAGTCCTTGCATTTGGGTTGGGAGAAAGAATTACTGCTTTGTCGGTTGTATAAGCGAATATATATGTAAGCAGGTTTTGCAAATAGAACTAATCTAAACAATAGTCATATTCTACACAGAAACATCGAAGTATCTTCTCCATCTCATTGATACAATAAGATGGGTAAGATGACAACGATGATATAAAACAGTCCGTCAGGGCTGAGCAGCTGAGGCTCTCGTAAGACCATCATTGATTAGTCACTGTAACATCAGTTCAAGCTTCCCTTCTTCCTATGCAAGAAACATCTCAGTTGGTATAGAGCAAACAGAATTGTCTGTAGAATGGGTGAGGCGACAAAGACGATACCAAGCAGTACAGCAGAGACCTGAGCGGGATCACTATTCTCGTAGTCTAAAACCTTGTATATATATGAATCACCATCAACATTCACTCCTCCAGCAGCCCAGAATATAACAGTGAATAGACTATAGACGACTGCGAATATCATTACATACAGAACATGTAGAATACGGACCGGTGTGGACGCCGTGAAAAACTCCACAAACATGACAGTTGCATTGAGTGCATGAACTGCGATGTCCATGAAGTTTGTGGGAGGTTCAAAGACTAGTGCCCAGTAATTTAAGGTAACCACCAACGCAGCGTTTGATGCGATAATCCACAGAAACCATACTCCTAGAAACAGAAACATCCATGTACTACTCATTTCAAAGTAATTATGAACTATCAAACCAAAACTGTGCGTGAAAACGTTCTTAGTAATTAAACTGCATGCATGAGGATGTATAATATTAGCTCTTTGGGGGCATCTTATACTTGATATGTAATTGTGTGCAGTATGCACACCATCTATGCAATGTAATGCAATAACATGAAAATTCAAAAGACATGGGGCTTAGTGGCGCCGTCCGGATTCTACTTGGGGGGATTAATAATTTGTAATGTCACAATTCTAGGGGGTATCTGAAGCGGCATTTCGTGCTTCGTGGGAGCACTTGGAGAATAATGTAATAATTGGAGAATACTAAATAAATCACCTTTTCGTAGTATGCATTCAACTCTTCGGAATTGAACGAATCTAAAACTACATACTGAAAATTAATGGGGAGATGGGGCAGGCGGCGCCACTGCTGGAGCTGGTTATATGCAGGTATAAAACTTTTAACTACTCTTTAACAACAGATTTGGTGCCTTTTGGTGGTTGAAAGGTAGTTAACTTCAATCAGTAGTAAATTTAATTACATCCCCTGGAGAATTATCAGCTTGTGCCTTCTGAAGTAGTTTATATGCTCAGGGACGCCGGAACGATAATAGGGCAAAGGGGGGCGGACGCACACCAAGGGCACCTTTACTGAAAAAAAATTTTTCACTGCAAAATTTTTTGGTCAGTGTACCATTTTAGGGGTCAAAAATTTTTTCCGGACATACAAAAATTTTCCGTGAAGCCAAAAATTTTTCCGGATATCTTAAATTTTCGCCATTTCTTCAGAATATTTTTCTAAATTCCAAAAATTTCCCAAAATTTTTATAAATATAAACTATAAATTACCTGAATCTCGTGATTTTCCTACAAAAAGCATCGTTGGAAATGTGATTTATCACGTATTATTTTACAACTAAAAGGGCACTTCTGCCCCCCCTGCCCCCCCTAGCCAAAGGCAAGGGGCGCAGCCGCCCCCCCCTGCCCCCCCAGTTCCGGCGTCCCTGTATATGCTACAGATATTTATGTCAGACTATAAACAAATTGTTCTTTCTTGCCTTTTTCGTACCAGACTAAAGACTTGAGCTCGATTTGATTTCCGTTACTTTGCGTTTGTGAGGTACTTTCAGCATCAATCATTTCACCACGGCTGCGCATCTCAAGCGAAGTCTTTCCCAATTCAGTTTCAGAATTTTGTAGTTTTCCATACGCGTGGATTATGCTAATTAGCGCAAGTCCTATCATAGCCATGGTGAGTAACAGGAAACTCCAGTTTGTGAGATAAATGAACCATCTTGGATCTGCCTTTCGTACGCCACTCATGATTGTTATGACGATGCAAAATGTGGCCAGAGTGAAACGGAGCAACAACAAAATCGATGGAGTAACAATCTACAATAACAAAATTGTAAACTTAATAATGTAATTTTGAGGGTATAATTTGGAAAGATGAATCAGAACGAGTGGTATTATAATTGAATCGTTTAATAATTAACAAGACGCTCTACGGAGCGTTAACTCGCTGGGGCTATACAAATACGCACATTACTGTACATGATCACACATAATACACACAGTACACAGCTATTTCAGTCAAGATTTAAGGTTTTCTCCCAGCTAAGCGGAAAAGTCGAAAACGAGCGCGACAGGCTTAACACAGTACTATTTAAATGCGGTAGGCCCTACCCTACAAGTAAAGGAGGCAATCTCGTTCCCCGAGCCTGCGATCCTTGGGAAGGAACCGTAAGCTCTGGGATAATCCGTTGCCGGAAGCCAGGAATCCTGGCTAAGATTGAACTACGCATTCCATTTCAACGGCCAATCAGATTCCTCCCTGAAACGGATTATCCCAGAGCCTCGCGTTCCTTCCCAAGGATCGCAGGCTCGGGGAACGAGATTGTAAAGGAGGCTACATCCTTCCACTAAAATGTAACGAGAGACTGTGGAAGAGTCAGACTAGCCTCCTCCGCAGGCATCTCTTAATCGTCGAGAACTTATATAATTTAGTTATTCAAAATCAGACATCCTTCTTCAAGACTGTCAGTCGCCAGTTGGTCCGTACGCTGGGATTAAACTGCGTGTTGCACTTTTCTGCTTCGCGTCAATACGAGCAGTTGCGTTTCAGCTGATTCTCTTCTCTGGGGACTGTATACTATCACCGTACAACCAAATAATACGCGCAGTCAATTCCTTTTACAAATTTATTAAAATAAAACAGTCATAACGTCTCCAATTCTTAAAACCATACAATCTTACAAACACAACCTTTCTTGATAAAACTCTAAACCCACACTCTTACAATCTCAAGCGTCAATATTTTTCGTTGTCTGGAAGTTTATTGTCTATTGTTTGAGCGTAGACAACGCATTATAGTCTAACTAAGATATTAATTTACAACCATTTAAAAGGTAATATAAACCATAACATAAAGTATTTAATATTTACAAGGATTTATCCGACACGTTCAAAATAAAATATTTTTGGGCTCAAAATACTATCAAAATGAAGAGAGAAGTGAGACTGGGCGAATCCACTGGCATGCAGCCGAAAAAGAGAAAACCAATGATACCAAAGTTATCAAGGATCAAACGTACTGCATTTTTTTATAATTAATGGTTTAATAATTTTGAGCGATTTGTCAACAATACAATTTCGCTTGATTTTCAAAGACAAAGGTCATTAATCGCTAGAATACTGTTGTTTAGTAATACATTTGGCATCCGTAAATAGTACAATTTCTAACGCTGAATCGAACGGTGGTATTTTTATCCTTATTGCGCCATTACGCATTACAAAACACTATGAAACGTACTGCGAGTGATTTGTCAACAATACGTACTGCGAGCGATTTGTCAACAATACAATTTCGCTTGATTTTCAAAGGCCATAAATCGCTAAATTACTGGTGTTAGTAATACACTTGACATCCATAAGTACAATTTCTTACGCTGAATCGAACGGTGTCGCTTTCTTCTCAAAATACTGTATAAAGCAGCGCAGCCAAATGTATAAACTTGCGATTTGCGAAGGACGAAGGTTACTGTTTCCATGCGAAATTCCTTGTAAAATTGTTCAATTTTCCCGAATTTTCCTCAAAATGCAGGGTTATTTATGGATAATTTGGGTAAAATTGGCAGGAGCTTTATGGATAATTGGGGGGAAAATTAGGCAGCTCATTAATATTCTATTTTGTGGCTATCAACGACGATCGGAAATCTGACATCCACCATGCGTGCCGAAACCTATACTCGTCTGGGGCACAGTATGCCTCAGCGAGTAATAATGTTTTCTGGAAGTCATCACGTTCATTTATTTAGCGAAAGCTGTCGGTTTGTGACGCCGGATCTTCATCAGGGCAAATAATATACGAATCGCAGCGGAAGCAACACTCTGTAAATCCATACTATGAAATTTGCAATAGCTGTTATCGTAATTGAATACGCCGCTGTGGCGAACCAGCGGTATCTCAGTGGAAGTACGCACGAAAACGAGGCTAAAGGGTCAAAAAACACAAAACATGACCCTATAGCCTCGTCTCGATGTTAAAATAATGCAGATACCGCTGGTCCGTAGCATAGACGTATTCAATTACGATAACAGCTATTGCACTACTAAATTCATAGTATATCCATACTATTCCATACTATATCATGCATAGTATGGAAATATACAATTATTACGGATAATCAAAATCCATTCTATTTCCTGTAAAGGTCCATAGAATTTCCATTCTATGACCTTCTATGCATGATTTCAAAACTTTTTCCAGTGGTACGTCCCTGACTCTTCTGCGACTTTGATCCACAGTTCCTCGACGTACGTTGCTCCGGAAAAAGCACGTAACGATCCATGCATGAGTATATATACCACTGTGCTCTGATGCCAGGGATGACCGAAACCGCAGGTGCAAGTGCACGCGATTTGTTAGGGCATGCAATGCGGGTACAGACTATATATAGGTGCAACCGGTGCGCAGACGATTTAGCACAAACAGATTTAACACAAACAAATTCCTTTTATTTGTACCGTTTTGTTAAAAATATGCCGTTTAATTTGACAACAAATCGTATTCATTGCCCTCAGCAACTTTCAGCATCCCTACCTGATGCAGCAACATTGGGAGGAAAACATTTTTTTCTTTGAATTGTGGCCAGTCAACTGCATGAAATTTCTTCATGTCAAATTGGTGATGATGTTTCCAAGAAGAGAAATTTTTCGCGCGTAGCGAATCGACCTATTGCGAGGAAATTACAGCAGAACCCATAGAACCTGATTCTTTTGTCGCTAACCAAGCATGCTGCTGAATATATTTTTCGATTCTATCCCTTCGCGCGAAAAATATCGCCTAATATAGTTGAAAACAGGATTCACGCATACACTGTGCTTTTTTTCCCTAATCCAAGCCGTATATAAATTAGGTGAATATCTTCAGTTTCCCCCCGTCTTAGCCTGGAAATGAAAACATTAGCCAACGATATTAAAGTGGCAAAGCAAACTATGATGCTTGTCAATTATGCCATCAGCGAATGGCTGTGAACGTGGGAACAGCTGCTCGTTTTAATAGTAACTAAATCTTATTTGCATTTTCTCATTATCAGATATGGAAAATTTGTCACTTTAACTGTACTTGTATAATAATTTGTCATTATTAATATATTGGATCACGTACATGATGAGACTAATGAAAGACCCTCGCCAACTTCGCAAGCAAGGCACCGCTCGCAACGGCTGAAAGACGATGTTTCTGTTTGCATGCATGCCCACGCTTGAAAGTATTAGAGACCTTATAGCGGTCAAACGCCAACCAAAAGTGAATCATGCCGCTAGCTGTTATGGATGTTGAGCGGTGGCAACAGCCGTTTTAATGCATTCAATCCAATGTTCCAACCTCGTAAGCCAAGGTCTTTACTTCCACACGACAAGACACTGGGTACAAGGTTTGAAGGTTGCAGCCGTTGTTGTTTAAAAACCGATAAATATTTTCTTGAGTCTTGACTCCTTGAAATTGCGGCTTTCCGTTGTAGAACCGAATGTTTCCCCGGCAACAGCATTTTAATTTGCTGAGTTGCAGTTTGTAACATCATATAGCCACAGGTATAGACTAGTTAGATTAACAAAAGTTGACTCCTTGTCGGCGCCCATGAATGATGATATCAACGTAACCGGCAGTCATGATGGAACAGGCATCATCCACCCCCAGCTCCCCTCTTCCAACATAGGGACTTTTTACATGGCGACCGGTGATGATGACTGCCTATAAGGCTAGACTTTTGGCTGAGTCGGATCTCTGCATTACATACTCTGTGTCATTACTGTCATACCTGCCATGTTAAAATTAAACAAGTACATGACTTCGAATTTTATGATCGCATTATGCGGAATTTTCAGCTCCATAACTCACAATCACGCAGTCTTGGAACGTCTTTGCGTGTCAATTTGCACAAAATTGAACTGAAGTGCACGCGCACACGGCATGGCTTGTATGTATTAAAAATGTTCTTAGAATTTCTCTTTGAAAAATATCACTGAGCAGCCAGTCAGAGTTATAGATAGATAGATAATTGACTTACCCATGACTTATGCATATTTTCTTCTTCATTATTGAAGTTAAGAGACAATTTCTTCCAGGAAAATTCGCTTTTTATTGTGCTTGTCATTTTTATATGCTGTGGCGTGGGAATTACCGTTGATAGTTGACTGACGACATGCAACTGTCGCTAGCAGTGAATGACGTGCGCACAAGTGAAGCAGATTAGCGGATGGCATGAATGACGACATAAAATAAACTTTAATTAATCCTGTACGAATATAATGCCTACTTTATATTAAGGGGTTCCTGTGATAGATATGCTTACACCTAAGCCGTTTTATAGCTTAATTAACGCCCAATGCCATTTAATCATTTTAACGACCATAAAATTCAACTTGGCAAATTTGACAACGAAACAATATAAAATGCAACTGATTAATGCTATAGAAGTTACTAGTCTTTTATTCCTGCCGTCGTTCTCTTCGTTGAGCGACAACTTTGGGCAGATTATGATTTCTATATCGCAAATTTGCATGAGAATATGATCAAGTGCGCTTTACAACAAGTATTGTACGCTTTCCTAATTACTTACTTAGCCTAGTCTACTTTATCTTTACAACAATTATGATATTACTTTCTTGACTGTGTTTATCCTAACCCACCCTGTCAACTTTCCCTGTGGGAGGAAACCGGAGCGCCCGGGGAAAACCCACGAATTTCGGCAGAGCGTTGACTCACTCTTTTCACATGAGTCCGTTGCGAGGGATCGTCGTTATCGTACTGATTATCGTAC